TCGCTTGAGATGGTTTTGGAGTGGTAATTTAGGGTTAGGGATGACCGAAAAGGGTAAGGGAAGGGGAGGGGATTTCGGTGGAGAGAACGGGGCGGGGGAGGGGGGTGGATTCCGGTGGGAGGAAGGGGAAAAGTGTAGTTTTGGGTTCGGGGTGGGGGTCGGGGCAGCGAGAACGGGAAAGGGAAGGCTCATTGGCTGCGTAGGGGTGGGAGAAAGGGAGGGGGTGGGTTCGCGCAGGCGCTGGCTGAAGCTTTGGCCGCCGGCGGGGAGGGGGTGGTTGGGTTACTTTTTTTTATTTTTTTTTTGAATAAACTTAACGGAATCTTAACGGATTCCGTTAAGTGGTAGTGAAATTTTAATTGTGTGATTTTAGGTGGTAGCAAAATAAAATATTTTTTTTTAAACGGGTAGCAAATGTGATACAAGGTGCTTTCAGCGGTAGCAAATGTCAATTTTTCCTAATTGATAATGGGTTTTGTAGCATGAGTGGGATACAGTTGTTTGTAAGATTCAAATCGCTGAAGCAAAAATACATAATTTTGGGTTAGAATTCTAGTAATGACTCTAAAGATGCTGGATTTCTGGTCTTTGTAGAGAATGACATCATTTGAAGAATACAAAAGGTTAGGAGAGCACATGCTCTCCGAGTCTTGTGAGATATACAAGTTTTGGTTGAATCACAACTCTTTATGGTAGTATATTACTCTTTCTGTCTAGTGAACAAGCATTATGTTGAATTTTGCACTGAGCTTATGGCGAGTGAAAAATCATGGAGCAAAAATTGGGTGGATGTGGGGCCAAATTTTAGAAACAAAAGTAGAGAAGTTACTTGAAAGAAAAATTATTTACTATGGGACATACGAATAAGATACATTTAACTCATGGGATGGTGGGAGTAAGATCCTGTCATATTCAACTATCTAAATGTTTTAATTTGTTTCTCACTTTCCTTGTAGGTTGGTGTGCCATCATTGGTTTGTTTTTTGAACAAAGTGGATGCTGTGGATGACCCAGAGCTAATTGAGTTGGTAGAAATGGAACTCCGTGGTAAGTTTAAAATTATTGACTGTTATTATAGGATTGTTGCCAAAAAAATAAGTAGTGGATTTTGTAGAGGGATGATTTATGTACTAGCAATTTGCTTTAATATGACCTTTTTGTCTGTTGATGCAATACTTTGGGGGCATTTAGAACTTCTCAGCTTCTACAAATTCCCTGGGGATGATATCCCTATTGTTAGGGGTTCAGCCTTGTCTGCCTTGCAAGGCACAAATGATGAAATTGGGAGGCAAGCCATCCTGAAGCTAATGGATGCTGTCGATGAATACATTCCCGACCCTGTCCGTGTTCTTGACAAACCTTTCTTGATGCCAGTTGAGGATGTTTTCTCGATTCAGGTACACAAGACTTATGTCGGTTTTTTCTATAGAATAAGAGTTATTGACATTTTCTGCTTGCTTATTTGTTATATTGTTAGGCATTGATGGTATATGAGTCTGTACTTGATATTGCTTGAAATTGATATTTTAAACACGAAGAGTTGTGAACATTAAACAGTAAGGGTGTGCTTAACTGCTTACTATTTTGTGATGATTAAGGTAGATAGTAATAATGTAATACTGAATGCTATAAATAATATTGGTAGAGCAACTAGTATAATTTACTATGCTAACCTTCTCGTAGCTGAGGTTTGTTTTTGACACATTCTATAGATATTAAGTGACAATTCATCATAGATAAAGTAGTGGTGAGAGGGCCTACATTGGCAACGCTGATTTTTATTATCTCCTGATACAGGGACGTGGAACAGTGGTGACTGGTCGTGTTGAACAGGGCATGATCAAAGTCGGAGAGGATGTAGAGATTTTGGGGCTAATGCCGGTACAGTTGAAACTTGCTGCTATGATTTTTAATTTTTTGTAATATGATGAGCTATTTGAAACCTAAAACTTATGTATGCTTTACAAATTTTACTGGTGAAATGTTGATGAAGATGTTTTCTTTCCTTAAAACTGTAACTAGTGTTCATTTTGATCCTACTGTTTACACTGCAGGGTGGTCCAGTGAAAACTACAGTGACTGGTGTGGAAATGTTTAAGAAAATTTTGGATCACGGTCAGGTAAAATGATTGAAGTTGATTCTTGCAATTTGCATATATGTTATATTTTGTATGGTATGTGACTAAAAATTCTGCGTGTATAATGTATCCTAGGCTGGAGACAATGTGGGTCTTCTTTTGCGTGGACTGAAGAGGGAAGATGTACAGCGAGGACAGGTACACTGATCTAGTCTATTGTGTTAACCTCACATTCTCATCTCACTTGCAATCGATATTTTTGGTTTTTAGGTATTCCTCCCCCCCCCCTCCCCCTTTATTTCTTCCCACACATGATACACACATGGAAAAAAAAAGTCAGAAGAACATTGTGTGCTCTATTTCAGTTGATTTTAACACTGTTTTCTGGCTTATTTCATATTTTTCTGTTATACAAATAATTTTGATGTAATCTTTATGGTTTATGAACTCATAATTGAAGATGTATGCCTGTATGGTAATATTAGAGAATACAGAGCTTTCCATAAGTCAAGGATAAGGTCATACTCATTGGGACATAGATGCTTAGCCATTTACAAGGTATTAATGAAAAGCAAGGCAACTATAATTCTATAACCATACCTTAATCACTCAAGTAGAATTACACTAAAGATAATAGTTGAGTTCCTAATGTCTTAAATGGAAAAACTTCAAGTATAGGGTGGATTAGGAAAGAAACCAATTCAAGTACTGGATGAAAAAGAAAAGAAATTATGGAAGGCATTTGATACTTTATAATTGGTTCAACCAACCGGTTATGTTATCATCTATATGGATAAGGAAAGAAATAATAGAAGGCATATGAAGGACCTGTAAGACTAGCAAATGCTTGGACTTCCTATGGCTTCTCATGAATTATTTTGCTCTTCGTTTTATTTCTTCAAATGTAAGATAAAGTTGTATTTACCTGCATTTTTAATGATCAACTTCAGTTTGTGCTTGAAACTAAATCATTAAGCTGCTATTGATGTACTATATCTCTTGATTACGTTAGGTAATTGCTAAACCAGGAAGTTGCAAAACATTCAAAAGGTTTGAAGCAGAAATATATGTTCTCACCAAGGATGAGGGTGGTCGTCACACAGCCTTCGTCTCCAACTATAGGCCTCAGTTCTATTTGAGAACAGCAGATGTTACTGGAAAAATTGAGTTGCCAGAAGAAGTAAAGATGGTTTTGCCTGGTGACAATGTGACTGCTACTTTTGAATTGATATCACCTGTTCCTCTTGAACCAGGTATGGAGCTCTTTTGTACCATTGCATAAGTTATGATGCTGTGTGGTTTGGTTTAAGACTGTAACTTCAATGCTAGTGTCTGTGGTTAATATTTTAAAAGGCTGGTCTTTTCATCTCATTAGTTTCAGCCTACATTGCCCGGCTCCTAGATCCTAGCCTGGCTAGCTAATAGCCATTCTGACTGTATGTGGTAGAATAAGTAAGCAATAAAAGTGGACTTTAGTTGGATGAGCTGTACTTTTGTTCAAAAAAATAAAAATCTGTAAGTTAAAACTCTGAGAATAATGATAAGTTAGTTAAATTGATGCACAAAAACCGTAGTTTGTGACAAAAATTGATTTATGAAAATTGCAGCCTCATTTTTTTTAACTTTCTATGCCCCCCTCCCTTTTCCCAATGAGAGGAAGAGTTTTTACCAGAGATTGGGAGAGTGACTATTATCGAATTTTCTCTTGGAAGTAGTAAGTATGGCTTGATAGGAGTCAAAGATGTATGCTCTTTTTTGCAACACTTAATAATTTAATATTGTAGATCTGTAATTGAATTCTTCGTGAACTTGCCCTTTGTTCTGAGATTCTGGCCATTGTAGTAAGAAGAGAATATAAATTTTGATCTTTGATTGAGCTGTTTGCTGACAATTTTCACTTGGGGAACGTTGCCCAAAGAGACCTTTACGAGTGCTGAGTGATTAAAGAGAGAATGTATACTTTACAAGTCATGCTTTTTGGTTTTAGTGATTTAATTTAATGAAAGATTGGTGGTTTCCTCTGGAGATCTCAGGAGTATAAGATGAATCTAACAGAATCCGGTGACAGATTGATTCAATGATACCTGCTTACTAGTGCCTTTGACGAGTTTTTATTCCAAAAAACCATTAGTGATAGTTGGTTCTGCTCTGTTTAGCACTTCAACTTTGTCAGGTTCTTGTTATGTTGAATAAAATGATAATCCACTGATGTAGTAGCACTAACTCACTGTCTTCAAACAGGGCAAAGATTTGCTTTGAGGGAGGGAGGACGAACAGTTGGTGCTGGTGTGGTTTCGAAAGTTATCAGCTAGAAGTGCTGAGGTTGGACATAGAGAACGTTGAAGTTGGATACTTGGATTTTATACCAAGGATGCCTAGTTTTTGAAGACGAGTCTGGATCCGTGTACTTTTGAATTTGACATGAAAAGTAGTAGGACTCATTTAAAATCAGATAGAATTGATTTCTTTATCAAGCAAATGCTCACTTTGTAGTTCAGAAACGCTCATAATTCAACCGGTTTTGATGGTTGAGTAAATAATTTTCTTGGAGTTGCATAATTGTTACCATTGGCCACAACCTTGGTCACCGTTTATGCATATGTAATGGACCTAGTCCTACTGATGATAGTGCACCCCAAGGCCGGATGTTTTCCACCTGGAGCACAATGCTCCTATAATCCTCAAACCTCCTAGAAATCAGACTGTTACAACTTGGTTTTACCAACTACTGGCTGCAGCATTGACGGAGTTGTAAATCGCTCTGCAGGTTTCGTAGATAAGTATTGGGAATTTCGGGATGCAGAATGCTTTTCTCAGGTGTGCGATTCTATCACCTTACCTAGAACTCCTCTTGGACACATTTCAAAATGCCTTGATCATTCGTCCTCAGGTCTTGCCGCATTCAATTTTGTGCACACTAAGTCAAACATGACAAAAATATTTACCCAACCAAAGAATAATCTGAAAACTGAACACAATTGCCCGAAACTTGCTATGTAATGGGTCAAACTTAACCTCCTATCATTCCATATATTTTACATTTGTTATTTTGTCAATCTTTAAATTTAAAAAAGAAACTCTTAATAATATCTTTTCCATCTCCTTAATAATACTCGTATTATTTTACTATTCAAAAAATTTTAAAAAAAAACCTTCCATCTCCCCAATGTTTGTCTTATTTTTTTTTTCAATCTATTACTTTAGGGACCACTATTTTACTCTCACAACCACTTCAATTAATCTCGTCATTAATCACAATCACTTTACCCTTTTAAACCAAAAATAAAAAACCTCTACCTTTCTCGGAGCAATAAAAAGAGGATAAAAGGAAAGGAGCATCAATCTAACCCCTACAAAAATAAAAATGAAAAAGGAAGATTTTCAAATTCTTCATCATCAAAAAGAAAAAATAAAACCATAAAAAGGCGGGAAAACCTACAAAAAATGGCGCTAAAACCATTCACTTACCTCTACCACATAAAACCCTCTCTTCCACCATTTTCCCCCATTTCAATTCAAACTCCCAAACTCACTCTTTCTCTCTCAACAATAATTTTCTCTCTCTAAAAAAGCAAGATGATGTTCTCTCAAAGCCAGTACGACAATGGCTTCTCATCTTCTCAATTCACTCAATCTGATTCCACTCCTTCTCCTGCTAAAGTATAACCTAATCCCCCTTTTTTCTCGATTATTATTGCAATTATTTTCATTTAATTATCGATTATTTTAATATTGATTTTAATTTTGATTTTGGTTGAGAAGAGTAGAGATCCGCAAGGAACAATTCCAGTAACTGTGAAGCAAATTAGCCAAGCTTCTCACTCCAACGCCGACGATAAATCCAGTTTCAACCTCGACGGCGTCGATGTCACCAACGTAACATTTCTTCTAATTCTTTTTTTTGAAAGCTGAATTTTTTTTGGAATGATTTTTTTTTTTAGGTTTGATCTAGGGTTTTTATTGGATTTGATTTGATTTGAATTGAATTGCTAATTGCTGTGTTTTCTTTGTGATGCAATATGTTGAAGAATTTAAGATTAGAAAAATGCTTGTATGATTTGTGGTATATATATTGATGTTATTTATTTTTGATTGAATATTGGAAATATTGTTTTTGGTAAAATAATGTTACGTGAATGGCGTCAAAATTTCCAACAATTAAATCAACAATAAATTAAAAAATTGCAGCAATTAATGATTTGTGATTGATGTTATGATTTTTATCGAACATTTGTTTTTTAAAGTCTATTTATAAATACTAGGGATTATAGAGTACCTTAGTTTGTTATTATTTGCAACAAAGAGATATTTTTTGTAGGATATAAAAAATTCTATTGACGGAAGTAGTAGTGATTTATTGATGTTTTTGCTTTATGTTTTGTATGTGTTTTGAAATTTTAAAGAAAGTAATTTTGGTTTTCTTTTTGGTCTTAGCCTTTTAGTGTCAAATTGAATTCTAGGTGCTCTTGAGTATATATACTGAGAAGAACCTTGTAACTAATAGCTCTAATAATTGGTGCTGCAAGGCAGCAAGTGTTGTGGGCGATTCTTGGCTTGTACAAAAATATTGTTAGGCTATTCATATATACTTCAATATGACCAATGGTGGTGATTTACATACAAGAAATTACATAAACGTTTAGGATCTTAGAATCTTCTCAATGTATAGTTTTCTTATATCAACTTTTTATAATTTTACCTCTTGAGAGCTAAAGATGTTATTGTTCAAAGTTTGAGTAGGCAATCTTGAAAAGTCAAAATGAAGGATTTATTGAATTAATAAACAGAGGTAGTAGTAAGTTGTAAAAGTGACAAGTTTGATGTTAGGATTGTTTAAGGATTTAAAGTCACCTTTTGAGTAAGGTGATTCATATTATCTAAATTGTTAAATTTATTTATCTGTTCTTTTGTTTAATGCTTACAACAACTGAGTTTATTTTGGTCATATTGTTTGATGGGTTCAGGTCAAATTGGTGGGAATGGTACTTGACAAAACAGAGAAAGTGACTGATGTTTCGTTCACCCTTGATGATGGAACTGGACGTATTGGATGTAAAAGATGGTAACATTTTCCATTTCATTGGTTATATTTTTTAATGATACAACATTTTTGTGTTAATAATCATTTGTATTAACATGAAGATGAAACAGTTATTTTCATTTTTTAGATTTGAGCTCAACACTTTGAGTAATCTGTTGCATGATGCAACTTGCATCTGTTCTTTCAATGAGAGTTGTGTTTGAATTGGATGGTGACTTGGCAATTTCAGATTGTCTTTGCTTTCTTTACTTTGGTTAATTCATGGTGTTAAGGTCCTGTTTTTCTTTCTTGCTCGACTTGTTAATGTTTTACGATCTTGCTCAATATCTGTCCAGGCTGAATGAACCATTTGATAGGAAGCAGATGGAGGTTATAGAGTAAGTTCTTGACTTGAATTTGTTGTGTTTTCTTGTTTGCCTCAATGCCTGATGGCGAGATGGTTTTGTTTTTAACAGAGAGGGCATGTACGTTCGGCTAGTTGGTCACTTAAGGAACACCAGAGGCTACAATGAAATAGCTGTGTTTAATATGCGGTATGTCTTAAAATCCTTTTTCCATTTTCCTTCAATTTTTTTGATGTTACTACATGGCAATCTCACATTCTCACCTTCTTTTAATTAATTAAGGACAGCAAAAGTTTATTTAAACAATTATAATGGCTTAATATATAAGTTTGTAGCATTAAAAATTGCAGAAATCACTTTCCGCTGTTCAAGTGTTTATTGACTTTTATCATATTGCTGCTTATCGCATTTCACATCTTTGAAAATGCTTGTATGTTGTTGCTTAATAATTTATGGCTTAATGAGTGTTTTACTTTTTGCCAATGTATTGAAACAAGTTCATGGTCTAATAGTTACACCGAAATAGGATATGTAGGCACGAAATTTGTTTCCGGTAAATGTTGCTGGTTTTCAAGATTTCATTTGTTGTTGTGGTCTTTGTGGAATTTGATTAATTTCACTTAGAAGAACTGGAGGGAGCCATGATATAACATTTTTGTTTTAGCAATAGCAGCTTAGATGTTTCTCTAAGGGCTCATGTAATTTCATAAGTTTATAAGAGGGGGTGCAAGAACCTCTAAAAAATGTAGCCTTCAGAAAACTAGGCAAATCCTATCATTCTGAATTGTCTTGTTACTTGTAATTCATTGATGTTAGCCAGACGTTCATCATAGTTTGTAATTGTATGGCAATCTGATGACTAATAATTGCTTGGAATTTGGTGCTTGCAGGCCTATTGTTAATTTTAACGAGGTTACCCTCCATCATGTAGAGTGCATTCACCAACATATTGTCAACCAAAAGTCACAGGTAGATTATTTTTATCTCCCACCACAGGTCTTCCACAAGTTCAGGAATATTGTATTTGCAGTGCGAATTTGATCTCACTTTGAATGTACTTGTACTTAAGCAGAAAGGTGACTCTCTCACTCAAGGTCAGACAATGGAATCATCGCATAGCACTCCAGTCAAAGTGGAATCCAATGGAATTCACTCATCTCCACCTAATCAAGTAAGCTCGAGACACCAATGGTTGTTATCAGCTTGCTAGCTCTAATTTATCTTGCACTTTTTCTGATTATTCTTTTTCTACTACAGTTCTCAATGCAAATGAGTGTTGATGGCTTAAAAGACATTGATCAGAGGATACTTGATTATTTATTGCAATCTTCAAGCCTGTAAGTTGTGAATCACTTTAAATCCCTTATATTTTCATGTTTTGGACTGCAAGTTTTGTTGTCTAGATAGATGTTTGTACCATTTTTCTGTTGCTGCTAAAATTGTGCTAATTTTTATCCTCTTTTTCCATGATGTGGGTATGTTTCTTTGCAAGTTGAATAATTCGCATTCCTAGTTTTATGTGCAAATCAAAGTCCCTTTGATACTGCTGCATGCCTGATCACAGTGGTGCTTTATATGCTGTTTCACTGAAAGTTTGCATTCTTTCAGGGCTCAAGAAAAGGGTGTACACAGGGATGAGATTGCTCGGCATTTGAAGATTCCAGTGGAGAAGCTCATGTAAACCCTCCCTCTCTATCGTTATTTCTCTTACACAATCCCCTTACCCCCCTAAAGTAGTTTGTAGATATAAAATTAAAAGATGAGAAGCACGCCTCATTAGTCATAACTTAACATATGACCTGTTGTTTTCCTGCTGTTCTTAGGGAATCCATCCCATGTTTGGAGGATGAAGGCTTAATATACTCTACAATCGATGAATTTCACTTCAAGCTTACTGCTGCATAAATCCATATTTTGGCAATGGACTAGGGAGAGGATGGCTATAATATACTAATTAAGGTTGAATCCTATGCATGTTCTGTTATTACAGTATTAGTATTAGTACTGACTTGATCAGTTCAGGTTTCATATCTAGTAGCATTTTTTACTTTTTATTTTTTTGCCTTGAAGGAATCATATCTAGTAACATAGCTCCTGTTTCGTAGTATGATCTATGTATATGCTGGCTTTCGATCAATAACTGCACAAATCGAAGGGATGTTTTATCTATTAAAATTTTACTACCCTTATAAGTTGGAATATGAATTGTCGTTAAAATTTATTACTCGTGATATTGTAGTTTTTTGATATAAAATCAATTTACTTATCAGTTTTATATATGCACCGTATATGTGGATGTATATGCATATGACCAGAAGCACAGGTTGCTGCCATCAATAATGAGATTGGAGCTTGTATAATAGCTACTCTTGTTTGAGCTTGTATAATAGCTACTCTTGTTTGATCAGTCATCAACAAAATTCATCTATTAAGAGGCAAGCTAGAGTGCTAGACCATCAAGTCTTTGCAACAAATATATCTTTCAGGCTTTGAAGTTTATCATAACCATAAACCAAGATGTTATTCTTATTTTGCTAAGAGTAAAACATGGCAAATGCTCAATAAAACCATACAAGCTTATTTAAAATGTAAGCTAATTTAAAATGTGCATTAAAATCCATGTAAAATAGATAATGAGTAGTGATAAAATTTTCTGGCCGTTTGTTTCTATAGTTATAAATTATAAAAAAAAAAAAAAACTACCCTATGTTTGCTCTGCCTTGTTCTCCTTTTTTCCTTATCATTAACCACTTTTGACTCTCATTCCTTGATCATTTCCCACCTTTTTCTTGATAATCCCATAAGTTTTCCCATTTAATTTAATTGATTTTTATTTAGTTGATTTCCTTATTAGAATGAGTTTAATATTTCTCCTTTTTTTTATTATTTATTTTTAACAAGACTCATTCTAGTTGATTTTTTGAAAACAATTCTTGTAAAAATGTAAAATATATAATTTGTCCAACTACAATCACAAAACAAGGTTTTTTTTTTTTTTTTTTTTTTTTTTACAATTGATCATTTTGAATTTTTTTTCATTTAAATGTATTGGTCTTTTTAAGAAAAAAATGTATTGGTCTTTTTAAGAAAAAATAGTAGGTGATTATGGTCAAGAAGACACTAGAAGTGTCAAAGACAATTTCAAGATGCTTAAGTGGTCAAAGAGTCAAGCTTCCAATCCAACTGTAAAAAAAGGGGTCGCTTTTTGCCACCTCCCCTCATCTCTAACATCCACTCTGTTGTGCGACAGCGGAAGCAAAGGTCGAAAACAAACAAGAAAACAATAAAGAAATTCAATGCAAACAATAAGAACAACACCAAGAATTTACGTGGTTCACTATCGATGTGATAGCTACGTCCACGGGCACCGAGATCGAATGATTTCACTATAAACTGCAAAGATTACAAAGATGATTCTTGTATTTCTCAAGAACGGCTCTCACTCTCTCTCTCTTAACCCTTATACTAATATTAGGGAGGTTTTATATTAATCCCTAAAATAAAAGATACTTGGGCAAAAAGATAACATAAAAGATAACTTTAAATCGTAAAATCCGCGTCTCCGCATTTTTCCTTCTCCGCCCGGTCAGACCGGGCAAGGTCTGCCCGATCGGGCGCGAGAAGAAAACTCCATACGAATGCTTCAACGTATCCAACCCCCACCGCCCGGTCAGACCGGGCAATGTCCGCCCGATCGGGCGGACAAAGCTACGAAGTACGAGTCACCTAATACTTATCAACAATCTCCACCTTGACGAGAACTCGTAGTCAGCAAACGACCCCATCAAGACATAGTGAAAAACATCTCAAGCCAAACCCGATGCAAGACTCATGCATAAGCCATACATCCCGATAAGTCTTCAACCAAGACCCATCACATACTCGTCTCCAAGTATAACAACTCATAATGCTCCACCTGCATCACAAGCCCCGGGCAAGCTCCACCTTAAGGCCAACACACCTACACCAGGAGCTCCCCAACTTCGCCCTCAGGGCCTACTACATCACGTAGTAATCAATATTTAACAAGTCTAAGCAATGTTTAAACTTGCTAAACGGAACAGGCTTAGTGAAGAAATCAGCCGGGTTGTCAGCAGTCCCAATCTTCTTCACCTTAATCCTCTTGTCAGTACGTAAGAAATGATACCTGACATCAATGTGCTTCGTCCGATCATGGTGTACTTGATCTTTAGCTAAGCAAATCGCACTTAGACTATCACAATACACTGTAGCAAAATCCTGTGCAATACCCAGTTCACCTACTAGGCCTTTGAGCCAAATAGACTCCTTAGCTGCAGAAGTTAAAGCCATATACTCAGCTTCAGTAGTTGACAACGTAACTGATGACTGCAATGTAGACTTCCAACTAACCACAGAACCACCCAAAGTGAACACATAACCAGTCACAGACCTCCTGGTATCCACATCAGCTGCATAATCAGAATCACTGTACCCAGTGACCAAGCATTCCCTACCATTCCCGTACACAAGACCAATATCAGTTGTCCCTCTCAGGTAGCGAAAAATCCTTTTCACCCCTTGCCAGTGTTCCCTCCCAGGTCGAGCCATAAACCTGCTTACAACACTAACAGCATGCGCAATATCCGGCCTAGTACAGACCATAGCATACATCAAACAACCAACCGCGTTTGCATATGGAACTCTAGACATATAAGACAACTCCTCCTCTGATTGAGGTGACATAGACAAAGACAACTTACAACTAACAGTAGTTGGCGTACTTATAGGCTTCGATTTTTCCATCCCAAAACGAGACAAAATCTTTTCAATGTAGCTTTTCTGAGTCAAGAAAAGCTTACCTCTAGCCCGATCCCTGTAGATCTCCATACCCAAAATCTTCCTAGCTGCACCCAAGTCTTTCATGTCAAACTCCGAGTTAAGCATCTCCTTTAATCTAGCAATATCAGATTTATTCTTTGTGGCAACCAACATGTCATCAACATATAACAAAAGATAAATCATGGAACCATTATCCAGCTTACTATGATACACACAGCAATCATATGAATTCCTGTCAAAACCTTGTGAAACCATAAAAGAATCAAACCTTTTGTACCACTGTCGGGGGATTGCTTAAGTCCATACAATGACTTTAGCAATCTGCAGGCATAGTGTTCCTTTCCAGGAACTTCGAATCCTTCGGGCTGCTTCATCAGAATCTCCTCCTCCAAATCGCCATGAAGGAAAGCCGTTTTAACATCCAACTGCTCCAGCTCAAGATCAAAATGTGCTACAATTGACAATAACACACGGATAGAAGTATGTCGAACCACAGGTGAGAATATCTCAACAAAATCAACCCTTCTACCTGACTGAACCCCTTAGCAACTAGCCTAGCCTTAAAACGTATTTGCTCAGTTTCCGACAACCCTTCTTTCTTCTTGTAAATCCATTTACAACCCACAAGCTTCCTCCCTTCCGGTACCTTTACCAGTTCCCACACTCTGTTCTTGTAAAGAGACTGCATCTCTTCACCCATTGCGGCAAGCCATTGCGCAGACTCACTACAACTAATTGCTTGTTTATATGTGGCAGGTTCAAATGACTCTACATCATCAGCTACACTCAATGCATAACCTGTCATCGCATCAACACAGCAATTTCTTCCCTCCATCTCTTCAATCAATCTAACAGGCTTCTTGATAACTCGTTTAGGCATCTCAAGAATGGTGTCAGGTTGACTAGATGACCCCTGATTAGATTGCTCCACCTCATCCCCAGAGTTAGAATGAGTAGGAGTAATCTCAGGTTCAGGAGTACCCGGCACTGGAACATCAGCATCATCATCAATATATTGTACCCGAGGTAAATCAGCAATGGTAGACTGATGTACCTCAAGTACCCCATCTGTCTGTAATAAATTGTCTCCTTCCCTTCTCAAATCTGAAATCTCTGCATTTTTAATTGAATACATGGTGTTTTCATCGAAAGTAACATCCCTACTAAGAATGACCCGACCCTCCGAAGGTGAAAAAATTCTAAACCCCTTCACACCATCCCCGTACCCAACAAAACACCCCTTCTTGGCTCGTGGATCCAGCTTACCCTCAATAACATGATAATAAGCAACACAACCAAAAAATCTTCAAATTCGAAAAATTAGGCAACTTACCACTCCAGATCTCAAACGGAATTTTGGAATCAATTCCAGAATGAGGACCCCTATTAATGACATAACAAGCTGTTAACACAGCTTCACTCCAGTACCTCCTCCCAAGCCCTGCATTAGAGAGCATGCATCGAACTCTCTCTAGCAGTGTCTGATTAACCCGTTCTGCTACACCGTTCTGCTGTGGTGTCTTCCTGACAGTATGATGCCGACCTATACCCTCATCTGCACAGAACTGATTAAACTCGTCTTTGCAAAACTCTAGCCCATTGTCCGTTCGTAGCTTCTTGATCTTCCTTCCTTGTCGATTTTCCACCAAAGCTTTCCATTGCTTGAAAACTTTGAAGGCCTCATCCTTTGACTTAAGCAACCTAAGCCATGTGTATCGGGACTTGTCATCAACAAATGACACAAAATAGTGGTAACCTCCCATACCTTCAACTCTAGATGGACCCCAGCAATCTGAATGGATGTAATCGAGCACTGCATCAGTAATGTGAGCACCCTTGCTGAACTTTGACCTGTGTTTCTTACCAAACACACAATGCTCACAAAATTCAAGGTTGGCAACCTTGACCCCGGATAGAAGACCCCTCTTGGACAATAGCTGCATCCCCTTCTCCCCCATATGACCAAGCCTCATGTGCCAAATCTTAGTCATCTCCTGGTGAGATACAGATGCGCAAACCGCAGAACTAGGCAGTGTAACACCCTCAAAAACATAGAGGGTGTTCCTTTTGATACCCTTAAGTACCAACTCAGAACCTCTGAAAATACACAACTCCCCATCTGAAAACACACCATTGTACCCCAAGTCATCCAGGGTACCCAATGAAATCAGATTCTTTCCTAAAGCAGGAACATGCCGTACATTAGTCAAAGTTAACCTCCGCCCATCAACAGTCCTCAACCTCATGGAACCAATACCTGTGACCTTACATGGAGCATTGTTACCGACTATAACCATACCCCCATTGCGAGGTTCATATGTATCAAACCAATCTCGACGTGGACACATATGGAACGAACACCCCGAATCTAGAACCCAGTTATCAGATAAATCATCAGA